AAAATTCTCAAAACAATTGTTTTTGGTTGCTGGAGCTCTGGCGACCAATTGTTGAATTTCTCAAAAAATATGTTGTTAACTGCTATACTAAGTTGTTAATAGCGTTACAAAAGTTGTTAATCGTTATACTAAAATTGTAAAAATTTTCAAAAAAATTGTTTCCGGCAACTAATTGTTGAATTTTCCGGAAAACCTATTGTTAACTGCTATACTAAAGTTGTTAATAGTATTACAAAAGTTGTTAAAGTTATACTGAAGTTGTAAAAATTTTCAAAAAAATTGTTTCTGGCTGTCAGAGCTCAGGCAACCAATTGTTGAATTTTTTGAAAAACCTATTGTTAACTACTATATTGAAGTTGTTAATAGCGTTACAAAAGTTGTTAACCATTATACTGAAGTTGTAAAAATTTTCAAAAAACTTGTTTCCAGTCGCCGGAGCTTCAGCCACCAATGGTTGAATTTCTCAAAAAATCTATTGTTAACTGCTATGCTGAAGTTGTTAATAGCGTTACAAAAGTTGTTAACTGTTATATTGCAATTGTAGAAATTTTCAAAAGAAAATTGTTTCTGGCCATTGGAGCTTATTGAATTTCCCAGAAAACCTATTGTTAATTGCTATACTGAAATTATTAATAGCGTTACAAAAGTTGTTAGCCATTATATTGAAATTGTAAAAATTTTCAAAAAAACTGTTTTCGGCCACCGGAGCTTGTTGAGTTTCGCAGAAAACCTATTACTAACTGCTATACTGAAATTGTTAATAGCTTTACAAAAGTAGTTAACCGTTATACTAAACTTGTAAAAATTTTTTTAAAAAAACAATATTTCCGACTACCAGAGTTCAGGTGACCAATTATTGGCTGACTGCCAGAGCTCCGGTGACTGTTGTCGTTGGAGCCCCGGCGACCAGTTGGCTAGTGGGAGCTTTGGTAGTTTAAAAGCAATAAGTAAAATGAAGGGCAATTTAGTCGTTTCATTTGACATGATAATGCCAATTTGGTCTCATGTGACCAAAATGACATTTTACAAATTCAGCGGATGTTTTGGTCATTTTGAAGTTAAGTTGTCAATTTTTTTGTCTTTTCCCCTAAATTTTAGCTTTTCATTCTCTCTTCTTTCTTGCCGCCAATCACTACCCTCCCCATACACCCGTGATATGTTTTAAATTGAGCAATGATGATATGGACTCCCCCTCCCCCCTAATCTTCTCCCACCTTCCCCCCCAATACTAGTGGCCCCTTCTTTCTTCCCTTTCATCTTCTTTCACCTCCCTCCCATGGCACAACGGCCCTAGTATCGCACAAGTCTAGATATAGCAAGTCTGATCTCTGTCCCCTGGTATCGCAAGTTCTTCTCCTACAAGAAGATTGTTGTATGTATGGATCTTACAAGTTCAGATCTGATCCTTCTCCCTCTCTCGTAGGTCCAATCTCTCTTCCCCCCCCCCTTTAAGCATGTATAGAACTAGAATGCTAAGATTGTTGTTTGTTTAAGTCAGTGTTTATGTTTGCTTTTAGCTCTATCCTTCTCCTAAATTATTTGACATAAATATAACCTCTCAATGTCATAATGTGTTTCAGAGGAGGTAGATTTTAGGAGTGAAAAGTGAAGAAGTTGAAGTCATGGTAATGAAGATTGAGTTTCTTCATCCAAGAATTAAAAGGACTGGAGAGAAAACTTGCAAAAGACATGATGTAATCGGAGACATATGGGTGAAGCCTGATTCTTTCTCCCTTTGTTGTCGTTGTTGTTGTTTAGTGATGAACTGATAATGGAATTGATCTTGAGGAAGGGAGGAGCCTATGGGATTTACCTTTATTTTTTTAAAAAAATTAAAGCTTATAGGAAGCACTATAGCTGGTTTTTTTTTTTTTAAAAAGTTGAAACTGTAACGCTTCCCTCATGAAGCGCTACAGCTAATTTTATTTTTATTTTAAAAAAAAGCCTTCTGTAACAGTTTGAAAACCGCTATAGCTTGGCTTTTATGCAAAACATGGCACTTTCATATATAGCACTTAGAAAACGCTACAGATTGCTAAAAATGAAGTGCTACAATTTCACTTTTGTGTAACAGTGATTCCTCCACATCCTACCCTACATTGTGACGAGAGTAGGCTTCGTCTACCTGAATATTAGTTTGATTCAATTGGGTTTTTGCTACGCCAAAGCTCATCAGGATCGCTTTTGTATGGCCGAGAGTCACCTGGGTATTGGTGCTTTTACCGTCAAACACCTTTTCATTCCTATGGTTCCAAAGAAGCCAACACACAATGATAAATAGTTCTCACTATTATTCATTCCCTTCGTTTTCCTTTAAATTCATACAACACAAGTCCCAAACATTAAATCTGAAGAATCGTCCAACATGGCTGGGTTTAATAATGGATAGCCATATCACTTTGATTTCGGGGCAGTGCCTAAGTGCATGTAAAGAGTCCTCAGGGCTGTGATTGCACCAAATGTACTCATCCGTCACATTGATTCCGTGCCTAATGCAAGCTTCATTAGTTAATAACCTGGGTTGACCATTCAGCTTAATCGCAAGTGCACAGGTTACATGTAGTATAAAAAGTATCATTCCTTTAGAGATTAAGGCCAGATGAGTTAAAATTAGCAATTATGTTCATGATTAGGTTAAGCAAAATTAATGTGTAAATGAAGTTATTTAAGGAAGGTACTTTGAAAAAAAGGTAAAAATCAAATCTAAAAACTTGACTTTGAGACAAATAAGGATTTAGGATTATTTCTCACTATTGTACTTCATAAAACTTGATTAGAAACTTCTCATTTAGTGTTTTAATGGTAAGTTAAGTCAGTCCAAGGTTCACAAATGTTGATTAAGTTTTTTCAAGTCAAAACCAAATTTTGTAATCTTAATAAATCTTCACAATCTCTTGCTTTTATTAAAAAGATTACACTTTGAAAACCAAAACCCTTTTTGGATAATACTAGCTCTATAGATATATCTTTATTCTATCAACAAGCCATCCATTTAATAGAATAAACTTATGGTCTAGCATATTTTTACCAAAGTTCAAAGATCAATTTAACTTTCTTAAGTTTAAACCAATCAAACAAATCACTACAAGTGGCGGTGAATCACAACAAAGCACTAAGCTCAAGGTAAAAACAATATAACATTATCATTAACATTAAAGAAATAGTTACAGAAATCTTAATCCATACAATAGATCAAAATAATGCTAGAATAACTACTCTAGCTACACATGTTTAGTAAAGGACCCCAAATACAAGGGTATTTTGTCAAGACAAGGGAGAAGAGAAGAAGAAAACTAAGGAAAATGAGAAAAGCAACTCCAAATCTCCTTCAAACTTCAAGCCTAAAGCTCCTAGACCCCAAAACCTCCAAACCCTAGTAGAGAACCCCTCCAAATAGGTACCTAAGTCGAAATCTGGCCAAGAATCTTGAGTTTTCTCTTTTATATGCCCTAAATTTTAAGTTACAATACAAAATACATAGTTAGGTAGGGACAGGCATCGCAATGGATTTAGCCAGGCGCTATGATGCCTTATATAGAATGCCTCTTCTTCTTTTTTGTTTCAAAGGCTGTGATGGATTGCTTCAAGGGCCGTGACGTATTATGCATGGTTGGCCTTCTTCACTTAGTTCTTCCATCCTTGCTTGCTCTGTGTTTATGATTTTCTCTGATCAACCAAAATATGTTAAATATTTCTCCTTGTTGGTCATCTTCTAGCTCTTACTACTTACACCAAGAATTTTAGAAGCATTGCACAAATAATCCCCAAATGTTAGCACAAATCAAGCTTCATATTTTCAAATCATGTTTTCCAACTTTAAGGGAGTAAACCTATACAATTAGCTTCCAAAAATCACAAAAGAGTGTTAAAACGAGCTAAGTTGCTAGGAATTTCAAGAGGTTGCATACCCTTAAAATTAAGCTTTTACTTGTCCTCAAGTAAAACAACAAACTAGAGAAAAGACCAAAATGACAAAGTCATCATCAAAATATACTTGGAATTGTCCTCATCAACTATTCTAGAAAGTATACAAAGCCAGACTACGATGGCATATGCAAGGATTTATGATTCATGAATTTAAAGACAAGCATATAAAATGTTTTAATATGTGTGTCAATAGAGTTCTAAGAATTCCTATCCTATACTAGCCAAAGTCAAAAGCATATCTAGATCCATATAGATGGTTTCCACCACACAAAAATAGAAGCCCACTCTTTTTGTGCTCTCAACTAATAAATCACCTCACACAGTTTCAAAATTAAAAGGACTTGGTTATCTTATAACATGGCTAAGGGTTAAGGCCATTGAAAGAAAATGACGAATGATAAATTCAAATACTTTGAGATCAATGAAATTTTAGCTTAATACACTCTTCTTTTTTTGTCAGTAGCCCTTATTGCTGTTGTAATCACCCCTAAACTTGAATCAAAATGAATTCTTTTCTTTTCTTAAGCCATATTAAACTTTTTCTTCTTTTTTTCCTTCTTTTCTTAGACTTGACAATTGTCAAACTCCACAACCAATACTTCCTCTTTTCATCATCAAACCTAACTGCCTTTATTAAATGATTTCATTTAATCTCAAAGTAAGGTTCATGGTTTTTCAAGTTAAATGGCTTAGGAAATTATTATGGGTTCACAAGAAATTCTTCATGATTTTTCAAAGCTAAAAAATGGGTGCAAAGCGCATAACATTTTGTTAAGGTCAGCTTAAAAGGCATAGATGCATTAAAAGAATGCCCTAATCATTTTTCAAAATCATGTAAGGTTATTTATAAACTTTGAAAGGATCTGGATCAAGTTTCTGAATTCATGGAGTTAAAAATGAACACATAAATTAATTTGCACTTAGTTCCCTAGTTGAATACATTCAAAACACTCATGACTTTATAAGTGCATCATTTTTGGCTTAAAACTGTTGAGAAATAGGCTTTAGAGAAATGAATCATTCATTGTTGCAGATTGGCCAAAGTTTCCAGTAAAGAATACTAACTAAACAACCCATTCCTATCACTAGACCACAAGCAATCGAATAGCTCATTCATCATACCAATCCCTATTTAAAAACACTAAACAAGCTTAACCCAAGTTTTTCATCAAAATTCTAGCCAAGTCAGCCATAATTTGCCCCAAAAAAATCTTAAAAACCATCAAAAAGTGTTATAACAATCTATGCCATTCAAAAATCACCTCCATATCTCCCAACCTAAAAGTGGATAGTGTCCTCACTGTTAAGAGTAAACAAAGGTCATCCTTATGTGCCAAAACACAAAAACCAAAAGAATCACCGTATAAGGGATCAAAATCAATATACCTACACTTGTACAGATATGGACTATTCACATAGGTCAGAAAAGTCAGTTCAACAGAATGTGCACAAAATAGAACTGAAATGATATCAATTTTCAATAATAAGCCATCAATAGCTTATATACAGGCATTCATAGTTCTCGGTTCATAGTTAATCTTACACCAAAAGAGTTCATGTTCCAGGCCATCAGTAGCCTTTCAAGATAGCAAAGTGGTAGCTAAACAAAACAGTCAAATAAATACCGCAAAGAAGAGTGAACAGGCAAGCTTAAACAAAAGTCACAACACTAGACAAAAAAAAACAAGAAAATGCCTCAGAGAACAACAAAATAAAGCAAGCAATAGTAGCAAATGGCCCTAACTCCTCTGTCTGGTCACCCCTTGGTCTTTATAATCATCAACAGACCCCTAGCCATGTCATTATCCTCATTTAGACCTCCACCAGATGCTTAAGTTTCATCTTCCTCCTTATTCATCTCTTTCTCATCCTCAGTACTTGTGTTTTCAACATCAGGCACTTTAATTTCTAACTTTTGAGATATTTGAACTAATAGCTCCTCCATACGCCTCTCTTTATGCCTCCAATAGTGAATTTCTCTATCTAATTTCCCATGGAGTTAGTTCAAGCTCTAAGTTATGGGACTAGAGCTTGTGCTAGCTTGGCTTCTTATTCCTTCCTGTACTTTTTAGGGAATTACTCAACATACATTTTTTTAGTTATGCGCTACTGTTCTCGCTTAGGAATGATGGTGGAGTAGTTGAATTTGGAGGCTAGCTTGAATTTAGAATTCTTATCTTTCCATTTTACTCCTTTTTAAGTCGGAAGATCAAAGATCAAGTGACGCATGATTAAGCTGGTATTATGTGCCCTTCTGGCATCTTATATGGCATCAAAAATCAGCTTCTCTATACGCACATCACCTTTTATCATGAGGAGATATATAAGAAGGGCTAGGTTCCTTAGGGATTTACTCAAATAGCTTGTTGTCATAATGTTTCTGGTAACAATATGCAGCCATATCGTCACCTTATGTGTCATGTCCTTCCTCAAAATGTAGGCTTGCCCCTTCTTGGGTTTTGTCCATATGCTTTCCTCTGATCCAGTGAGTGTTGATGAGATTTGATCTAGAGGAATTTATTTCTAGTTGTTCAAATACCATTGGTATTTGTAGTTTTTTTATCATTAGCAACTGGTAGAAGTTTCTTATCAGTTGCGGAGTGATGAGGACAATTTTATACTGAATGACTATTTCATTACACCAATCAGTAGCCACCTTGGTATAGAACTTCCAGACCAGTTTTTCATTCCCTAAGGTTTTTTGTCCAATCAACTTCAACAACTTCAATGTCCTTGCCTGTTTATGAAACCTAAATTTGCTTGTATAAGGGAACTCTTGCTCTTAGTGCAACCCTCTTTTGTTAATTAGTTCCTTGATGGGAGGTTCAGGGGATCCAAAGTGGGGTTTCTTCTTTAGGGCCATTTTTTCTTGCATAAAAAAAGCAAAGCACACCACACACAAAGTGAAAAAAAACACAATAAACACAAAACAATAGAGAAAGACAACTAAGCTATCCTAAGGAAAAGAAAGCTCTCCCCCAAAGTTAGATCAAAGTTTGAGATAAAAAATCACTAGGATGCTATGCATTCCTCAAGCAGTCCTAACAAACCATATTCTCATCATTACTAAACTCCAATCCACCTTCAATTCATGCTTACTCTATAACTCATATCCATTTCTTTATCCAAACCCAAACAACTGTCAATAGTTGCACAAAATTTTGAAAATGAACTTCAAAGGTAGGTATCCATTAGTAGATACCTATGCAAACTAATTTCAAAAGGTCCTTTCCAATTAGTCACATTGAAAAACGCACAATTTTTTATTTTAATTGACTCAAATTCAAAAAGAGTACTACCTTAAATAGATCTTTAATTTTATAACATAACTTGGGCAATCTTGAAGTGTCATTTGAGAATCTTCACAATTATCACCTTTGTTTCCAAGTCACAAGCTTTTTCACAAATGGTTACAGTACAATTTCTCTTTCAAATGATATAGAATAATATATTTTATAGAAATATGACTTTAAAGGAATTCTCAACATTAACCCTTTTCTAGAGAGAAAGAAAATGTCCTTTTATTCAAGAATTCTTTTAAAGTTAAAATTGCAACTGAAAGTTCACAAATTGTTAGGGTAATCCTGCACACAAATTAATCATAAACATAATCAATCTCAGAGATTCAAACTCCCCAACATTCATTGTTCAAGCTCTAGTTTAAACCATGATGCACCTCCTAAAATCACATTACCCTACTCAAAAATAAACTAACTAAAGAGAAAGAAAGAAAAATACCTCTAAAGATGAGCAGGCAATCAAGAAAGAAAAAGAAGACAGAGGGAAGAAGAATTGAGGTTGACAAACACAGGGGAGCACAACTTGACCTCCAGGGAGGACCATGTAAATGTCGATGATGCTAAATAAGGAATGGATGATGATGGAACCTTTGAGAGAGGGAAAAGTTGACAGAGTCAAAGGTGAGGGATACTGAAATGTAAGAGTGGTGATGGAGAGTGTTATAGGAAGGAAAGGGAAAATTGAGAATTAGTGGGAGTGACAAGACAAAAAAGTTAGGGTTTTAAAATAAGGAGGAATGAACTTGACCCACCAATTGGCCAGATACACAGGAGCAAAGTGGGGAATTCAAAAAACAATAAAGGGCAAAAGAGAAAAAAGAGTTTAAAGCCTCTCATTTAGATGCACATGTCGCGACACATCAAGCATCACACCGCAATGCCTCAAACAAAACAGGATAAATACAAGTGATGAGACAGATGTCGCTTTTCACCAAGAGCTTAACAATAGGAAGGAGATAAGACTCCATAGCTCATAAGAACAAAGAACATGGTGCCTCAGACAAATTCAACATGAGGGTTAATAGATAGGACCTTTGTGGCACAAGTAGAAACTCGTCGTGACTCTTATTATAGAAAGGAAATCTGTAGAAAAAGGAGAAGATGTTGTGGCCCATGGCTACAGCTGCTGTGAAGTAACAAAAAAAGGCAAAGACGTTGTGGCTCATGCCCCATACAGAGACGTCGCACTTAACAAAAAAAGGCCACCGCAGTGCATGGAGTAACAAATTATGGCACTTGTTACAGAAACTGCCTAATAACCCTTTGATCAATGTGCCAGATTGTTGCCTTCTGGATCGGCAAGAAAGAGAATTACACCAGATAAAATGCAGTATAGGATGTAACTAGTCATTCTTCTCGAGGAGCTTGTTATTGGAAATCCTAGCCTAAATTGGGTTTCAAAAACATTGTGAAAAAAGGGGTTTTAGTTGTTTTAAAAGTGGTGCAACAAATGCAAAGTGCAGAAAATTAACTATTTTTGGTATTTTGAATGAATAAAGAAATGTTTTAGATTAAAAAGGGAATTATGGTTAAACAATCTCTTGATGATGAAAGTCAATTATCACTGCTCTTTAGAATTATTGGGAGTTTGGAAAACCTCTAAGTCTGAAAAAAAACCCCAAGTAATCACTTGGGTCCACTGTCTTAATTAATGAAAACTCACTTTAATCAATGTTAATTAACACCTCTTAAGACACTACTGAAAACCACTTAGAGTGTAAATGAATGAATGATGCAAATGCCCTGTGAATGTCAATCGACAGCCATAGAATACCAAGCACATAGATTAATCAACAATTATCACTGATAATCAAACTGAACACAAGGATTCAAACTAAAATATTAAATAGATTAATCAACATTAGCATCTTCCAATCCAAATACAATAGAATAGTCTAAATACAAGATTTACAATCATAAACCAAGTTTGATACAAGTGCAGAAAGTTCCTAAATCTAGAAAAATTCAACACAGTATTAAACAATGGTTTAGACTATAGAAAGAAAACTCCCCGATTAAGTCCTTGAGCTTAAGATTTGTCTTCCATCATGAAGAGGCTAAGGGTTTAGCCTCTCATGCCTTCAAACTAATCGTAATCGCTCCAGGAATGAATAGCCATGGTTAAAGCTAAGAACAAGGTTGGAAAAATAGAGAAGGGTGTTGAAGTGGTTTGATCAGTTTAGAAATACAGAAAATGATGAAGAGATGAAGAAAAATAGAAGTTTTGAGTGTAGGATCAATGGAGACTTGAGGGAGGTGATGGTGGCTCAACCTTATGCAAATCTGCAAAATGGAAGAGTCCTCTTTCGTGGTAGCTGCCCTCCTTAGGTATATAAGCTCAAAAACCTATTCCAAAACACACAGCTTCACTTAACGCACTCAGGTCGCGACTTGAGGAATGTAAGGTCATGACTTAAGGGGATCAAGTCGCGACCTGAGAGATTCCATGTCGCGACCTGGGAAGACTGAGAGCTCTTATCTTTACTCAGGTCTAAAGTGTAGGGCATCTAGGTCGCGACCTAAGTAGTCCATGTCGTGACCTAGGGAGGTAGAACACTTCCAACTTTTTATGTTCTGGTCCTTGTAACATTTTAGCTCCATTTATGCTCTATCATGACTCTTAGGTCCTTCTCCAATTGCCTAAAGATCACAACAAAGAGCTTTGTAAAGACTAACTGATTACAAATCAAGGTAATTAAAATGTAGAAGAGAAAAATGATCCCTTTTTTACCCCCTTAAATAGCAAAATGCAATGCATGACTCAATGTAATCATATGGATATAAACGCACGTATAATGAGGGTAAAATTGTTGTAAAACATTAGAAAACACTTAAGAAAACCATATAAAGATTGGGTTCTATCACCCTTAAAACAACAAAAAACGCTTAAAACCTAACAAGACCTACAATCCAAACAAATAAAACAACAGAAAACAAGACCACCCTATCTAACATCATAGCACAAGCATAAAAACCAAAGAAACACATGTAAAAAACTAAAGAAAACATATTAATCAAGCTTCGAATCAGCACAACTTCCAAAATAATCAAAGTAATCAACAAAAAGCTACAATTTCATTCAAATTCACATTAGATTCACTTGATTATCCAGAAACAACAATAAGGGCATAGTTAAGGCGGGGGACTAGAGTTCAGCTTCATTGAGGTCAGGATTTAGGTTCACTTCCTTGGAAGTCATGCTTAAAATGCAACTATTCTTCCTTTTTGGGTGATCAAGTACCTGGGAAAAACCTTCATGCCTACAAAAACCAAGATCAAACATAAAACTACTACAACAAAATCAAAAGCAAACAAAATGTAAAAGAAAGGCTAATCGCTTGATTTATAATCTTCAACTTGACTCTTCATCTTTAAGGGTCCTCAGATAAGGGGATAGTGATGGTTTGATGATCAAATGAGCTACCACAGTAGTGCTTCAACCTTTGGCCATTAACTTGAAATTTCTCTCTAGCTTTTCCTTCTATCTCCACAACTCCATGACTACGAACTTGCACAACAATGAATGGACCAGACCATCTTGACTTTAGGTTCCTAGGAAAGAGTCTTAGCTTGGAATCATATAGTAGAACTTTAGTTTCCTTGTAGAGTCTTGAACTTTCATAGGGATTGAACTAGAATTTCTCAGGTTCATTCAACTATAAAAGTCGCTTCTCGCTAATAGCTTTTACATCAAAATTTAGCCATTTGATAGCCCAATACGTACTAAGTTCTAGCTCAATAGGGATATGGCATGCTTTTAGAAAGAGCAGTCTGTCTGGTGACATACTAATAGGCATTTTGTATGCTGTTTGGTATGCCCATAAAGCGTTATCAAGCTTAGTAAACTAATCCTTTATTGTGCCTCCCACAATCTTCTCTAATATCTTCTTGATTTCTCAATTGTAGATCTCTGCTTGACCAATAGTTTGAGGATGATACGCCAAAGCAACCTTGTGCTTAACACCATATTTCTTCAATAGAGTTTTAAATTGATTATTGCAAAAATGACTTTTTCCATCATTGATTATGGCCCTTGGCATTCCAAACTGGGTGAAAATATTCTTTTTCAAGAATTTCACAACAACATTGGCATCATTAGTTGGGGAGGCAATGACTTTAACCCATTTTGACACGTAATCTACTGCTACCAAAATGTATTGCTTGTTGAAGGACTTAGGGAATGGTCCCATGAAGTTAATCCCCCAAACATTGAATAATTCCACTTCAAGCATGTTATTTAAGGGTATCTCATTCCTTTTATATATATTACCTTTATAGTAGTCTTGTTAGCCCCAAAATGACCTCCATACTCAAATAAGTGGCAACATCTCAAAATTTCTTCTTGTTCTTATTTGGGAACACATCTTCTCAGTAGTTGGTCAGCTTAATGATGAAACAAGAATGGTTCTTCCCAATGGTAGAACTTGACATCAAATAGGAACTTCCTCTTTTAATGAGGGTTCAACTCTTAGGGAATAATGCCACAAACAATAAAATTGACAATATTAGTATACCAAGGCTCCTCAATATGGGTTATAGCAAAGAGTTGCTAATGAGAAAGGTCTCATTAGTCACTTGGTCAAATTCTACTTGAGCATCAATACTCAAACATGAGAGATAGTCAGCTACTTGATTCTTAGTACCTTTTCAATTGACAATCTCAAGATCAAATTCTTGCAGTAGCAGCACCTATTAAATCAATTATGCTTTCGACTCCTTTTTCCTGAAAAGATACTTAAGTGCTGCATGATCAGTATAAACAATCACCTTAGCTCCTACTAGGTAAAAGCAAAACTTGTTGAGGTAAACACCACTGCAAGTAATTCTTTCCCAATAGTGGTGTAGTTTTCTTGAGCATCATTAAGTATTCTAATTGCATAATAGATAGGATGAAAAATTTTATCTTCCTTCTGGCCAAGAATAGCTCCCACTGCATAATCACTAGCATCATACGTAACAATGAATGGCAAACTCCAATCAAGGGCCATCATAATAGGACAAGCCTTCTCTTTAAATCTTCAAATTCTTAATAACAAGTATCATTAAATTTGAATTGCACATCTTTGTCAAGTAAAGCATATAGTGGCTTGGTGATTTTAGAGAGGTCCTTGATGAAACAGCGATAAAAAGCAGCGTAGCCTAGGAAGCTTCTCACACCCTTAACATTTGCCAATAGAGGAAGTTGTTGAATCACAAAAATCTATGGCCTATCAACCTCTAATCCATTCTTGGACACTCAGTGACCTAATACAATACCCTTTTTTACCATGAAGTAGCATTTTTTCCAGTGGAGGACAAGGTTAGTTTCTTCACACTTCTTTAAGACACTTGCTAAGTTAGTTAGACACTTATCAAATGAATCACCAAAAACTGTGAAGTTATCCATGAAGAATTCCATAGTGTGCTCAATCATATTAGTAAAAATAGACATCATACAATATTAAAAGGTTGCCAGTACATTGCATAATCCAAATGGCATGCATTTGAAAGCAAAAATCCTATAGGGACAAGTGAAAGTTATCTTCTCTTGATCTTTTAAAGCAATAGTAATCTGATTATAGCTAGAATACCCATCAAGAAGGCAAAAGACTTTCCTACCAATAAGCTTATCTAACATTTGATCAATAAATAGGAGGGAAAAGTGATCCTTTCTAGTTATAGCATTCAATTTTTGGTAGTCCATGCATACGCTCCATTTAGTAACAGTACGAGGAGGAATTAGTTCATTATAGGTATTAGCCACTACAGTCAAACCACCTTTTTGGGGACACATTAGACTGGGCTCACCTAAGATCTATCAGAGATAAGGTAAATGATTCCCGCATCAAGTCACTTAAGGATTTCCTTCTTCACCACTTCCTTCATAATTAGATTGATCCTTCTTTAGTGTTCAATAAAGGCTTTACAATTGTCTTTCAACAAAATCTTATACACACAAGTAAAGGGATTCCTACCCTTGATATCCGCAGTTTTCCATCTAATGGCCTTTTATGAGCCTTAAGGACTTTTACTAATTGCTCTTCTTGTTGAACAGTGGGATTAAAAGAGATAATCACTAGTAAAGTGTTGTTGAAACTCAAGTAGACATATCATAAATAAGAAGGTAAAGCGTTAAGCTTAAGAGTTGGTCTGTCTAAGGAAGATAGGTCTAAAGATTCTAAGTATGCCTGGCCCTTAAGGTAAGAGGATGAAGTGTTCATCAATGCCAATACCTCTATTTCTTCTGTTTTGAGATCCTATAATGCAACTTCGAGAGGGTCCTTAAACATTGACTTGTTAAAGTCATCTTGCACAATTTGATTAATGATGTCTATAAAGGAATACTACTCATGTTGGCTTGGGCTTTCATTAAGTGGTGCATACTGAATGTCACATATTCATCATTAACCCTTAAAGTTAATTCTCTTTTCTCAACATCAATATGGGTTCTAGTAGTTGCCAAAAATGGTCTCCCAAGAAGCAAATGCATTTCTTTATTAGCTTTAAACTCAAGAATAATAAAGTCAACAGGGAATATGAATTTGTCGACCTTTACCAATACATCTTTGATGATTCCCCAAGAATAGGACATGCTTCTATCACCCAATTGTAATGTAATATTGGTAGGTCTAGCTTTACCAACTCTAACTTATTGAAAATGGAGAGTGGCATTAGATTCATACTCTAGGATCACATAAAGCTTACCCCAAGAACTGGTTTCCAATATGACAAGGAATAGAGAAACTCCCAGGGTCCTTTAATTTAGAAGGAATTTACTTGATGACATCAGTGAAACTGTTGGTCATAGCTATAGTTTTGTACTCAGTAAACCTCCTCTTCTTTGAAAGAATATCCTTCATGAATTTAGCATATTTTGGTATTTGTTCTAGGGCTTCCACCAAAGGTCTGTTAATGTGCAGCTATTTGAATATCTCAAGGAATTTCTTGAATTGGTTATCCTCTTGTTGTATGTTGAGTGTTTGAGGAAAAGGTAGTGGCATCACATATTTAGAAGGAGATATATAGTCTTCCTCTTCTTTTTCTCTACTATATCAAAAGTGACATGCTTGCCTTTAACCAAATTTGTTATGTCTTCTTTAGCTTGCTTTCTCTTCTTGTTGTCATCCTCAATAATGTGTTATTCATTCTTTTCTTCACCATTGCAAAGATCAATCACCATATCATTCTTAGCTTCTTTGTTAGCTCTATTGGAACTAGGGATATCAGGCAAAGTCTTCTCACTTCTCAAAGTGACTGCTTTACAATCTTCTTTACCATCCTTCTTAGGATTAGGAACTGTGTCACTTGGAAGGCTATTTTGAGTAAGAACATTCATATGTAAAGTCAATTGACCCATCTAAACTTCAAGATTCTTAATGGCGGTTTCATAAAGAGAGAAGATGGCTTTGTTCTCAACCCTTGTAGACTCTTGATTAGCCAGCAATTGACTGAACATTTTCTCAATTTTGGATTCTTCCTTCTGATGATAATGTTGCTGTTGATGTTGTTATTAACTATGAAATCCAAGAGGCACCATTTGTTTAGCACCAGAAGATGATACATGGCTGGCTTCAAACTTGGCCCATTCGGCTATGACAGATTTGGATAGTTTCTTAAGTTCAGATTGTAAGTTTGAGAATACGAGCTTCTTTATGACCTTTTATGCATATTATTCATGTAGTCATTACTACAAAAAAGATATATAACGACAACAAACAATGGCAATTAAAATGAAAAATGCTATGGAAAAAAAGGTGGTGACATTTTTATAAATAAATGTTGTGACTGTTAACTTTTCACAATAGTTATTAAGAAAATCGTCACGGAAAGATTTAAATTTACCCTACCATGGGTTCTATTTTTCGTATATCGCAGTTTCATATTGGTAGTGTGCCATGGTCGCCCTTTATCCCACCACTACCGAACTGTAATACCAACCAAACCCCCCTAATTTCCCGCTATTAAAAGTCTTCCATTTCACTTATGGTTGTTTTGCTACTGTCTTCCGTCGTCTACCACCCCCATTGTTGCATCTTCTTGCATTTAAATTGTCTCTACCGAGTGAGTTTCTTCTTCTTTCATTCTTTTCATTTTTTTCTTAGTTTCTTGGATGTTTTGACAATAAAAATCTATTGTATTTCAAATGGGTTGATTGGTTTTACATTTTGGATGTCTTGTATTATTTATTTTGAGTTTTTTATGTGCTTTAGGTGTGGTTGATGGCATTTGGAGCTAGAAAACCTCAATTCCTTCCTATACACGGCATTAGAAACATGTTTAGATTTCAAAGTTAATTAGTTTTTAAGTTTTTGATTTTTTATAATTTTTTTATTTTTTCTGAATTTTTGGTATATTTTTGTAATAAAATTGAGAATTTATTAATAAATAATATGTTCAGTGTTTTGTCAAATTTATTTTTTTGTTTTGAACTTTGATTGATGGTAAAATGTTGTTTAAAATTTCATGGCAAATGGATATAATTTGTGTTACCGTTTTGGATTTAGAAATCTTAGCTGTAAAAATCTTTATTCATTGAATTGGTTTGAGATTAAATTGTTGCTTTTGTTTTCTTTGTTATATTTCTTCAAATTTATCCTATCTTTGTTTATTACATTGTTGGTTTGGTTGATTGATTGATTTGTCCATTTTTTAAATAATTTTGGATTTGTTATATTTAAGGGAAAATTCTATAGAATTTTTTTTCAAAATAAAAAAAAGACATTTTCTTTAATTTGTAATTTAGTGTTAGTCAATTTTAATTCATTGACTAACACTTAATTATTTTATTTATTTGAATATTTGAATTAAGGAGTTAGAATTGAGCTCAACAGTACAACTATGCTCATTGACTCTAGAAAATAAAAGATTGTAGTTGGATGAAAGCTAAGAGAATTAGCAAAAAATATGAAGATGGGGTTGAAAGGTTTCTTGAGTTTGCTCAGAGAAATGCCCCTAATAAAAGAGATGAATTGTATTGTTGTCCTTGAGATAAGAGAGCATCTTATTTGTGATGGGATAAATTTGAGGTATACGAATTGTTAGATTTAAAGGTTTTGATTATAACAAAATAAGTTTTTCTATTTCTCTGTGAAATTGTTAGGTTAATCGATCACTTATTCGATCATTGGTTAATCGAACATTTATCAAATAACTGTTAGCTCTTTTTGAATCAATTACTATTGAGTTTAATTGATAATGTGTTAAATAATTCAAACTTACATGTTGATCGATCACATGATCAATCATTGATAACACTAGTTGTATATAAGATGTTGTAGCAAATTATCAATCATTTAATCGATAATTTATTGATCGGTAAACTGTCAAGAAAAGTGATAAAATACCACAAGTATAACATAACGT